CACACACACACACACACACACACACACACACACACACACACACACACTGTAATGTCAGGCAAGCCCGAGTGAAACCACACCTGTGATCCCAGCATCTGGGAGACTAAAACAGGAGGATTTCTAAGTTCAGCTGAGCCTGGGCTATCAAGCAAGATCCTGTCTCAAAAGAAAAGTGACCATAACGTCGTTGGCATTTTTGCTTTAAATATAGACTTCAGGGCTGGAACTGTAGCTCAGCTGGAAATGTAGTTCCCGAATTAAAAAAGCCCTGAGTTGGACACCCAACACCGCATAACTAGGGGTGGTGTATCACACTTATTATCCCAGCATTCACGAGTCAGAGACTGGAGGACTAGGAGTTCAAAGTCACCCTCAGCTATGTGAAGAGTTGTGCAACCAGCCTGCACACTACCTGAGACTTTTGTCTTTTGCCTCAAAAGACAAGATCATTGCAAAGGGGTCGTGGATTACTTAGTCATTTAGAGATATTTTTGTTTAATAGCTTAACTTGTTTTTTATTTTACCTTACTTACTCATTTACTTATTTATGAACAAACCACTTTATGCCGAGGCTTGAAGATTGAAGCGGCCAACAGGATTCAGTGCAGCGGGGCTTGGCAGGGCAAATCTCTGTGGCTGGGCAGCAGTAAAAGCCCGTTTCGGCTATTACAAGCAGGCAAAGAAAAGCAACCAAGGGATCTTTAGAGCTGAGTGTCGGGTGTCGGGCTAGGCAGCTCCACTCGCTGGAAGTGCAAGGGCGGAATGCCCAGAAAAGTCTGTTCTGTTTATTTTCCAGATGATGTAACTGAAGCATTCACAGAAGATCCTAGTAAGTCAGCCTGCTTTGGAGTGTTTACTTCCTACCACTGGAGTTGGGGGTGATGTCCGTCCAGAGAGGAGGTGACACCCAAGCATGCACACAGCACCCTTTTGCCTTTCTCGGTGGCCACCATCAGCCCAAGCATGCCCAGCCTTCCTGTCCCCTCCGTCCTCTCCCTGACAGTCCCTGCAGCTGGTATGCCTGAGTCCTCGTGCCTGCGCTCAGATCCCTCTCCTGTATCCCTCCCTGTATCCTGCTGCTCTTTTCCTGCCTTCACTTCCCATCCCGTTTTTGTGTCTCTGCAGACCTGGTGAATGACCCTTCTACAGATGACACAGGTGACATTTACTATGGTTCTTAATAACGGCGTGATCCTAGAACGTTCACAGTGTTGATTCCAGCTCCCGAGTTGAGCCTGTATTTTTAGCTCTGGGGGGAAAAAATGAGGTTGTGGGAGTGTAGTTAGTGACTGACAGGGGTATAAAAGGAAAGAGAAGCTTGCTAGTCCTCAGAGGAGGGAACAGGGTTGACAGGGTGGCCCCGTATGGAAAGATGCTTGCTGCTAAGTCCAAGGAACTCAGTCAGACACGGTAGATGGAGAGAACAGAGTCCCCAAAATTGTCCTCTTCCCTACACACACACAAGACACAAAATAAACAAACAAATGTAAAATTGAAAGAGGGAACAATGTGGACTATTAGATAAAATATGACCTGTCTGGGACTGGAGAGATGGCTCAAGAGTTAAGAGCGCTGGCTGTTCTTCCAGAGGACCCGGGTTCAATTCCCATTACCCACATGGCAGCTCACAACTGTCCGTATCTCTAGTTCCAGGGAATCTGACACCCTTACACAGACAATATGTGTAGGCAAAACACCAACGCACATTAAACAACAACAACAACAACTGTATATTGAATATATCCAAAGATAAGTATGTTAAGCACACCAATATTCATTCAAAAACGTCCCCAATTACTTCAAATAATCCTCTTCCCGTGGACGTACACCTTGCCCTTGCTCTGGTTCCTTGCTCCCATGTTCCCTTGTCCTGTTCTGCCTTTCCCTTGCAATTCAAGGCCCTTCTCACGCCTACTATTTTGTGCCTTTTCAGTTCTGGCTGATATCACACCTTCCACAGATGACTTGGGTGAGTTCAGATCTGGGATGCCAGGGCCGTTCTGAGCCTTCCCCAGAGCCCTTACTGAAGGCAAGGCAGAGGCTGAAGTATTCTAAACAGAACTACAGTTTGTGTAAAACATCCTCCCAGCCATTTACGACAAATTAACGGCAGCTTTCAATCAAGTGGGCAGGAGGGGACTCCCTTGTAGGGAAAGACAGAGATGCAGTTCAAGACTTAGGGTGAGGAGGAAGCCTTAGGGAAGGGAAGGTTTTCATCAGCTTTGTATATTGGGAGGGTCATGTCCCCCCCCCCCCCCCCACACACACTTGCAAAATTCGAAACGCAGGATTGGAAGTTAATACGTAAAATAAAGTTTAAACTTTTTTTTTTTACAAATAGAAAAGAAATAAAGCATGCCGTAGCAGAGGTTATCTATCCTCTTCCCTGCTCGTCTATTAACAGCTCTCTAATGACGTCCTCCCCAACGGCGCTAGTGATGCTCTGTTCCTCAGCACTTTGACGCCTTTCTGTAAACTAAGTAGGCTATGAGCCTGGCCCCTCCTACTCCTTATCCCAAACCTCTCATCAAAGAGGCTGTAGTTACCTCCCTCCTCCCACAGAGAAGAGACCGTGTCTGGGGAAAAGCCTGGGCAACGGGCTCCTCTGCTCAGTTCTAGGAAGCAGGGCCCTTTGTCTACTAATCTGCTGCATGTAATCCCAGCCACCTGAGAGGCTGAGGCAGGGGGATCACTTAAACTCAGGGGATTGAAACCAATGAAGACCACATAGGGAGACCTCCCGTCTCTTAAACAAACAAATAAGCCTGGGAACTCTACACAGAACTAATTGGCCTTGAACTCACAGTTCAAGGCACCTGTCTCTGCCTTTGGGTGTTGGGGTTAAATTTAGGTATGTAGTCAGATGTAGCACACATCTATAACCTCAGTACTCGGGAGCAGAGGCAGGCAGATCTCTGTGAGTTCGAGGCCAGCCTGGTCTAGAGAGTGAGTTCCAGGGCAGCCAAGGCTACACAGAGAAAACCTGTCTTGAAAACAAACAAATTTAGGTACAGACCATCATGATTTCTTCTCATCAATTAACATAATAATACTTTCATTTGTTTGTTTGCTTTCTTTCTTTTTTTTTTTTTTTAAGACACTGTTTCTCTGTGTAGCCTTGGCTGTCTTGGGACTCGCTCTGTAGACCAGGCTGGCCTCGAACTCACAGAGAACCGTCTTTCTCTGCCTCCCAAACACTACTGTTAAAAAGCATGCACCACCACCACCCAGCTTAACATAATGACACTCTTAGTTCAACAAATTCCTCAACTCTCTGTAAGAGAAAGCTGAAAGCCAGGATTCCATCTTCATTCTTACATATCTTTGCTAGCGTGCCTGAAATCAGCCTAACGTGAGTTTCCTTTTGGAAATTACTGAGAGCCATTTGTTTCTTATTTCTGAGTGTCTTGATTGGGTATGAATGAACCACATGGTAGTGACAGAGGTGGTGACTTATAGAACTGTTAATAACTGAATAAAATTTTTGCCTTCTAGCCTCAGCTGGTGACAAAAATACTACTGCAGGTACGGTCACTCATTTATTTATTTATTTACTTACTTATTTATTTATTTATTTATTTATTTATTTATTTATTTATTTATTTATTTAATGTGTGTGGGTGGTCTGTATGTCTGTGTACCACACGCATGCAGTACTTCTGGAGGCCAGAAGATGGCGTCGGATACCCCCAAACCAGATTCATACTAGATGGTATGAATGCTGTGAACAGGTGTAGGGTCTTCTGGAAGAGCAGTCAGTGTTCTTAACAACTTTTTGGCCCTCGATTTATAGACCGGACTGGCCTTGAACTCAAGAGATCTGCCTTCCTCTGCCTCCTGAGGGCTGTAGTTAAAAGGGTGTGCCACCATGGCCTGGGTCTCTCTCTCTCTCTCTCTTCTGCCTCTCCATCTTAGGCCCTCTGGAAGAGTACTCAGTGCTGTTAACTGCTGAGCCATCTCTGAGCTCTCTGATTATTTTTATACATGTCTTTTCGTAAGCTTTTCTTCCTATAGATTCTTTACCTCCTTGTGTTCTGAAGAGCGTTAGACTCGTTTTTTATTTTCTTTCCAGTTCTCCCACAAAGAGTACTTTCAGCACTCTTCCCTCCCCCAAGTCCATTTTCTTTCCTTCATAAATGATCTTCTATCCTGAAAGTCACAGGGAAAGAAACAGCCCCCATTGACTGGCCCTCAAACCACCCGCTCCCTAAAGTTGCCTTTGGACTTTATTTGATTCATGAATTAGTAATTGGTCTGCAGCTATGGCTGAAAACAGAGCGAGGGAGCTAGCTATGCCTAGGAACTCTCATTCTTCAGAAGGAGACCACCTGATTTCAGTGTCATGTTTCACGTCCCTACCTGAATAGTCCTAGAAAGACTATTTTTTTTTCCTAGATGAGTCCTCAGAGGTTATTTTACCTACTTCTGCTTCCAGGTAGGGAAGCACCTAAATTTCATTTGAGTCAGTTTCCTCTCGCTCTGTTTTCGGTAAGCAAAAAGGACATGCTCCAAAGTACACTGATTTTGTTTTAATGTATATATTTTATTTTTGTAAAACCTGCTCCATCTTCCTGCATTCTGTCTCCCTTCTCCCAGCCCTTTAATCCTTCGTTTATACTATTCTCTTTGTATGTCCCTGTTTGTTTGTTTTTTCTGTGTTGAGCAGAGTGCCGGGATGAGAAATTTGCTTGCACCAGACTGTACTCTGTCCATCGGCCAGTCAAACAGTGTGTCCATCAGGTCTGCTTCACCAGGTAAGAGAGTCCAGAGTGTCCAAAGAGCACATTCCACTTTGGTAACGTTTGTGCCAGGAACTGTTTAATAAACATGCACCACAGGACTGCAGTCTTTGATGGGGCAGAGGTTGTTGGCTTAATCTATTTAATCATTCCTAAAAGTGCTGCCTAGAGCTTGGAGTCTAGCTTGAACTAGCCACAAAACAGTCTGATAGATGCCAGTGGCTGTGAGGGCTGTAGGTGGGAAGATCAGGAGAGACAGTGATGTGTGCTACACCAGCTGACTGAAAGCTGGGGCAAAAGACTCAGCTCTGAAGTGAAAAACAATGGACGGAAGAATCAGGGCTTGAGGATAAGAAGTGAAATATGCAAAGAGCCACTAGGAAGAGTAATTAATACCATTTTTTCCCTTTCTTCCTCTTTTAATCATTAAAACCATTTCTAGCTCCTACATTCTGCTAAGGAATTTTTTTAAAATCATATACTTAATAAAATATCTAGACAAAGGGAGGACAGTAGGGAATGAGGAATTGGAGAGAGACCCTGGCTAGACCCTCTCACCACCTTCTCTGTCTCCTTCCCTTAACCATGACGCTGGGGACCTTGGCAGTTTACGACGCATGTACATCGTCAATAATGAGATCTGCTCCCGGCTTGTCTGTAAAGAACACGAAGCTATGAAAGGTAAGATGATGCCTGGGTGGTCAGTGGGCAGGGACAGTTCTGAGAGGTAAATAGAGCATGATGCTGTCGGATCTAAGTCTCTAAGGACAGTGCTGGGCAATCCTTTGTCTTCCATCAGCACCTACCAGAACCTGCGCTAAAACTGTCTACACTGTAAACAAGTACCCCGGCTAGACTGCAACCCCCCCAGCTCTCCTACAGTGAGAAGTTTCTGAAGCTCAAGCTGTTCCAAAACACTGGGCACTGGGGACCCTGGAACTGGAGTTACAGATGGTTGTGAGCCACCATATGGATGCTGGGAACCGAACCTGGGTCCTCTGAAAGAGCAGCCTGTGCTCTTAACCAGCCTTTAAAAAAAAAAAAATCATCTTTTGGAAGTTCTGTGGGACGAGTCAAGTCATCATTACAAATAATAGACTCAATCAATGGCCATGATGACCATCACTCATGTTCACAGCTCTAGAAAGAACACACACACACACACACGTTCGGAGACCGTGGGGTCCATGAAAACATAGGCAGGACATGGTGAGGGAGGCTGCATTATAAACAGTCCACCAGTCCCAGAGACTGTCGACACGGCTCGTTATGAACTCTTCAAGGTAGAGGAAGGTGGGAGATGCTAAAAGAATAATTTTCAAGGCTCCAAAATGTGTGGCTGTAGGACCGTGCACGGTGGGAACAAACACTCTTCTCACCTTCCCCGTGGGCAGCCCCGAAGGGCCGCTGTGGTTTGTGCTGACACCACAGACACGGGCACTTTTGACTCAGCCGTCAGCTTTGCGCTGGGTTGCTGAGTCAGAGCTGTAGCAGATTTCGCAGAAGGAAACTTCCCGCTTGCCCCCGGCTCTGTGCAAGCCACCTGCGAGGGAAACACCTTGACGCTGGCTACAGTGCTTGGGACTCTAGGCACTTTCAAGTGCCTTGGGGGATTTACTGCAGTTGGCTGTTGTAAACACCTAAGCTTTAGCAGGCTGAACGACTGAACCTCGCCTTTCTATTCAGTAGATCCGTGACGAGAGCTGGGAGCCGGCTCCATAAAGGAAACTAATTCGGCACGCTTTGTTTTATTTCAGTCCTCACAAAATACACCATTGGGGCAGGTATTAAAACGCTTACTTGCAGAAAGGGACAATGAGGCTCATCTAAGGTTAGAAGCTTTCCAGCAAGTGGCAGGTGTTCAGCAAGTGGCAAGCTGAGGTCTTTACCCGGATCTTTTCCTCTGTCTATCCCACGGAATCGTCTTCTCCTGGTCCGGCATCCTCCCATAATGCTCTGTTTTCCCTCTAGATGAGCTTTGCCGGCAGATGGCGGGCCTGCCTCCGAGGCGGCTCCGTCGCTCCAATTACTTCCGACTTCCTCCCTGTGAAAATATGAATTTGCAGAGACCCAGTGGTCTGTGATCATCAAGGAAGAAACAAGAACGAGAGGAGTCAGAAATTCCTTCTCCTCCAACCACCATCACCTGTCCTACAGACATGTGTTTTTTAAACTAAGCCCTTTGCAATGCCCCGGCTTTGACCCTACTCTCTAATTTTCACCGGACCTGGTAACATGTGTCTCGTTTTATAGTACTCACAATACAGTGTCTATATTGTTACACCGTTTTGCTGATTTCTGTTATTATAGACAAGGAGAACAAAGGATGACCACATGACTTAAGTACAAACACTCTACGTTCAGGGTTAATAGAAGAAAGGGGCCGGGGTGCCTGGCTCAGTCAGCACATGGTATAAAACCGAGCATGGTGGCCAGGAAGATCAGAACTTTAAGTTCATCTTCGATTGCACATCAAGTTGGAGGGCAGAATGTGCTCTATGAGACCCTAATCTTGGAAGAAAATACACTTTAGGTTAATATTCTTTGTTTGTTTGTTTGTTTGTTTGTTTGTTTGTTTGTTTTTAATGGTGCTATGGATCAAACGCAGAGCCTTGTGCACGCTAGTGGAGTGCCCCATCACTAGGCTACACACCTGTCTCCTAAATTAAACAGTTTAGTCATTAACTATGTCATAGACAGGAGTGAAAGAGGCGTTCCTAGTCAGTCTTGGCTAGCCACAGAACCTTCTAGGACTTTCCTAGATCAGCTCCTCATTTACACGGTCTTCTGCACTCCTCACCGCTCTGCATGTCCTAAAATTCGCTCCAGAAGTCTTCCTGGCAAGAAGGTCATGGGTGCGGCAGGAGAGATCGCTTAGTGGTTAAGACGCTGGATGTTCTTCCATAGGATCTGGATCTGGTTCTCTGCCAACACCCACCACGGTGGCTCGAAATCATCTGTCAGTCCCATCCCAGGGAGCCTGAAATATTTTTCTGGCTTCTGTGGGTGCTGAATGCATAAATGCATATGGCACACACACATACATGTGGAAAGTACACATAAAAATAAATCATTTTTTTTGAAAAGCAAAAGAAAGGTCATGGGCTTTTTTTTTTTTTTTTTTTTTTTTTTTTTCCTCCCCAGCAGATTTCCCAACAGGACCAAGAATTATACAGGCTCACCTAGCAATCTGTAAAGACTCCAAATGCTGTCCTTTGCTAAGCTTGGAGTCTGGGGAAGAAGTAAGAGAGCCATATCAGGTATGAAACTTGGCCCGTGGTTTCCTCTATAATTTCTTGGGCAAGTTGTTCAATTGGGAAATGGAGAGGGAAAGTAAGTCTCCTTTCCTCACCCAGCTCTGGCAGTAGAAGGGCCAAGCCACCTCCACAAAGCAACTATACAACCAAATGTGACACCATGACCCTCACAGGGTTTCTGGAGTTGTTACTTCCTTCCTTGTCTCTGCTTGCCTGGTTTATTAGTAGAGTATATTGTGCAAATAGCTCCTAGAACACCCTGACTTGGGGTACAGACAAAAGCCCAGGTGGCTGAACCTTAACACGCCGGCAGACTGCTTACCTGATGTTTAACCGAACAGGTGACAAAGCACCATCTCCAGACAACTCACGTTCTTTATTGTTGCTGGTTTTATTTTTATTTCATTTTATTTATTTTATTTGAGACGGGATCCTGCTAGGTAGCCCTGACTGGCCTGGAACTCACAATGCAGAGCAGCCTGGCTTTGAGTCGTCCCCCTGCCTCAGCCCCCCAGGAGTGCTGGGATTATAGGTGCGTGCTGCCAAGCTTACCTTCATATCTCGTTCTTATCCTTACTCCCTAGATAGCAGATGTCGCTTCAGGTAACACTCTTCGCTTCCTAGATCAACATCCCACCTTTAATAAGAACAGGTTAAATTTTTGTTAGTATGTGTTTTCATCCCGCAGTTCTCTGGATACAGACACATTATTTATATCTTCGAAGCCTGGTCCAAATCACAACAACCATGTCTGCTTTACCCAAGGCATTCAGCAACAGTCCACATTACATTAGCACAAAATCTGCCTCCCTCTTTTTCTGCTGCCACTGAGACGAAGCCCATAGCCTCCCGCCAGCTAGGCACACCTCAACCGCTGGACCATACTCCCCCCAACTCCATCTTAAATAAGTGACTGATTCTATACCATGAGCACTTTTGTCTGAAAAACTCGAACAATTTTCTGTAAAAGCCAACAGAATTCTAATGAGAACCAGGCTATGACATTTACTGGACTTGGATTCCTCCCATAATGCTGAAAAGGAAAGAAAAAAAAAAAA